GGGCCGGGTTGCCCGGCCCCGCCCGGTCCGGACCGGCCAAACGATCATATTTTGCCATTTGACCGATTTGTCCTTTAAAACGGTCAAAAAACGGCTAGAATATGAGGGTTTTTTGGTCATTTGCCTAAGGGGTTGCCTCTATAAATAGAGGGGGTTTCACTTTATTTCCTCACAACAAAACTCATCTAATACTCTCTTATACAATCTTATACTCTCTTATACTATCTTATAATCTCTTATATTTTCTAATACGTCCATCAAATGGCTTCTGGATCTGATTATGAAGAACAAAACCTATCTCCTACCGATCCAGAGATGAGTCTTCCTACAACAACTCCTCCTCCTACCGGTATTAATCCTGAATCTGATGGCGACGAATCTACTGGACCAAGAGCTCCTAAAAGGTCGAGATCCGATGTGTGGAATTTTTTTGAGAAGATAGACGTCACCAAGGATGAACACTGTAGGATCATCTCCCAGAAGGAAAAATGTGCATTATGCGACCAGGTTTTCCAAGCTCATCATAAGAGCGGCACCAACCATCTCAAATGTCATATAGAAAAACACAACAAAGGTCAGAATCTTCAAGGTGATATCCGATAGTCTACGATTTCCCAATTCTCCTCTTCTGTTACCCTCGGTAGTTGGAATTATGACGCTGCCCGAGCTAGAAAATACGTAATCAAGTTTATTGTTCTTAAAAACCTGCCTTTTAAATTAGTAGAAGATGATGAATTTAAAGATTTGTTTAGAGATTGTTTTTATCCCGCATTTTCAAAATTTTCTCGTCAAACTTGTCAACGTGTGATTTTAAAATATTATCAGGAGGAACAATGAAAAATAATTTCTTATTTTAAAAATTTTAACTATAAAATTTTTTTAACTTCTGATATTTGGACATCTAGAGTGCAAACTAGTTATTTATTTATCACAGCACACTAGATTGATGAAAATTGGCAAATGTTTAAAAAAGTTGTTTCTTTTATTACAATTGAATAGTCACACACTAGTATTAATATTGCAAATTTAATAATTGAAGAACTTATGAAACTAGAAATTGATCAAAGAATATTTTCTCTTTCACTAGATAATGTAAGTAATAACAATGTAGTTGTTGATTTTATTAAAACAACTATGCCATTGTCATGTCATGGTGACCTTTTTCATGTTAGATGTATCTGTCATATTTTAAATTTAATTGTTCAAAGTACATTTTCTAAAATTAAACCCATGATAGAAAAGGTTAGAACAGTTGCTAATATGCATAATGCTTCTGAAATGAGAATTAAAATGTGGAAACAATATTATAAAAGGAAAAATTATAAGCCTCCACTAATTCCAAAAGATGTTGACCATAGGTGGAATTCCACATATGCAATGTTAAGTGTAGCAATAGAATATAAATAAATTATAAATGATTTTATAAATTTTTATGCTTCTAGTTCTAGCTCTGCTAGCACTTATGGAATAAGTGAAGATGAATGGACAATTATATGTAAATTAAATGAGATGTTATAAGTTTTGCACTTATGGAATAAGTGAAGATGAATGGACAATTATATGTAAATTAAATGAGATGTTATAAGTTTTTTATGATGCTACTATGTTATTATCTAGTTGTTAATATGTAAATTAAATGAGATGTTATAAGTTTTTTATGATGCTACTATGTTATTATCTAGTTGTTATTATCCAACTATTACTTTAGTTGCTTTACAAATTTTAAATATTCAAAAAAATTTGCCAAATATCGTATGCATGATATTTTTTGAAATATAATTTTTTAAATGGAGAGTAAATTTAATAAGTATTTTAGGTCTATTCCTCATATTTTTTGTTTGGGAGTTCTTATTGATCCATGTTTGAAGGATATTGGTCTTTGAAATTTGTTATAGTCATTGTATGGTGGACATATTATAGACTTAGATGATGGTTCCACCCTTACTGCTACTTCTCATCATTTATCTATTAGAAATTATTTTTAAACATTATATGATGAGTATGCAACTAGACATGGTATAGCTGCACAACAGTCTACAACTTCAGCGCTTTCAGCTTCGAGCACATGTCGAGGTAAAAGTATAAGTTTTGATAGATATGCAATGGTAGCTGAATTAACTGGTGGATCTGGAATTGGTTCAGGATTAGAGGTTTCTGAATTAGATGAATATTTTTCTGCTTCCTTAGTTAAATGTCAAGGAAATGCTTTAGATATTTTATAATGGTGGAGAGTATATGGATCGGTTTCATATCCTATACTTTCCACCATGGTTTGTGACTTACTATCAGTGCAGGTTTCGACGGTAGCTTCAGAATCCGCATTCAGCACAGCAGGACGTTTGATCGACGACCACAGGACATGCTTAGATCCGTATACTGTACAAGCGGTGATGTGCTTACAAGATTGGTGGAGGTACGAGAAGCGAACACAAGGCATCGATCAGATTACTATAATTGAAGATAAATTTGAAGGGTTGGGACTAGTAGATAGATATAAAGATTAGATAATATTCATTAAATTGTAATTTTTATTTCTTAGCTTTAAATTTGTAATGAATTATTTCGGAAAAAGTTACAAATGATAGTTTTCTTAGCTTTAAATTTGTAATGAATTATTTCGGAAAAAGTTACAAATGATAGTGATATGGGTGAGTAGGTGCCAACCTAGTTGGGATTTACTCATCTATTGTGATGCGACGAATTTCAAAATAAATTTATACTTGTAAATGATTTACTGGTTATTAATAAAGAAATTATTTTTATCATCTTTTATTTTTATAATTTTTGTACTTATAATTTATGTCATTTCAAGTTATTAAAAAAATTTATGTCATTTTTTATAATTTTTATGTATATTTTATGATTTATTATTTTTTAAAATTTTAAAAAAAAATTTAAAAAAAAAACGAGCTGGCCCGGAGCCCAGGCCTCTCAGGGCCGGGCCCGAGTCCAGGCTTCGGTTTTGCCCGGCCCAGGCCCGGTTTCCCGGGCCGGCCCAGATGGATACCCCTAGTTCCATTTGACTGTTTGATATCAGACATCAACATGATCATATAAGTTAAGCTCATACATGAATTTATTTTAACCAGCACTCATGTATAAGTAATACAATTGGCATTGAGATTTAAGATACATGTGAGATTCGCTTTGACTTTTACACAAACGGTATCTATTTAAATAATAATAGTATAATTAAATTTTATGATCTGAAAAAGATAAAATATACAATATAATTAATTGTTTTAAAATAATCTAGTCTAATCTAATAAGAAAAAAATAGATGAAAGTAATGTGAAAATTGTTACAATTTCATAATCATACTTTTTTAAATAATCTAATCTAATCTAATAAGAAGAAAGTAACAAAGGCACATACCTGTTGAAGGAGATGAAAGTGCTATGAAAATTATTGTAATTTTTTATTTGAAAAAAAGATCAAATATACAATATAATTAATTGCTTTAAAATAATCTAATCTAATCTAATAAGAAGATATACAATATAATTAATTGCTTTAAAATAATCTAATCTAATCTAATAAGAAGAAAATAGATGAAAGTGTTGTGAAAATTATTTAATTGCTTTAAAATAATCTAATCTAATCTAATAAGAAGAAAATAGATGAAAGTGTTGTGAAAATTATTGTTATTTTCTTGATATGAAAAATAGAATAAATATACAATATAATTAATTGATTTAAAATAATTTAATATAATCTAACAAGAATAAAATAACAAAGGCACATATCTATAGAAGTAGATGAAAGTGCTATGGAAATTATTGTAATTTTTTAGCTTATATATATTGGTATGTGATGTTGCATGTGAGAGGATAACAATTATAAATAGAGTTATATTTAAATAATAATAGTATGATTAAACTTTGGAACTAATTATGCAGTACCATGAATTACTTGAATTATAGTCAGTGAGAGATCGTCATGTTGTGTCCATAGATCGCAACCATTTGTTTTAGTTTTCTTTTTTATAATTTTGAGAATGACTTTTGTCTCTTTAATTTATTTGATGGATTTTGCAAATATCCCATCCATATTATCTACATTTGTAGGCCTGCGATATTCCTTGGTTCGACCTTTGAGACAGACATTATTTTTCTCGGTAATTTGTTTGGTTTTTGCATATACGCCCTTCATTTTGTATACGTTTGTAAATTTAGCATTTAATAATTTTATTTAGGTTTATATTTTAATTTAGGCTATATCATTATATTCATACTATGTATATCAAATAAAAATTCATCAATTTACCAATTTACTCTTACTTAATAGATTAGTATTTGAATTCTAAGGGTATTTTTGTCTACCAAAAGATTTTTTCGAACTCGTGCTTTTAAATGAAGTGTGATGTGATATCACATTCCTCATATTACCTGTTAAATAATATGTATTTAAGTATTATGTTTTAAGTGTTTAGAAATAAGGAGAACTATTGCTATTTTGTTTTAAAATTATGAGTGCCCATATAGTGAGTTTGATTAGTTAACTCCTTACTTCGAAGGTTATAATTCCTTTTATACTTATGCAGAAAAAAAGACATATTCTTTTAAATATTTTTGAATTTGACAGGTTACAGTTAGTCTCAATTTATTTCTTGTGTAAATTTTGTTTATATTTGACATATATTAACGAGGGATTATCACTTTTTAACAGGTCATCGACATGTTTCTAAAAAAACTATTTATACTATGTGCTATAACAAAAGCAAACAGGATGCAATATTAACATGGGCACTACAGTTAGACTCAAGTTGTTCGCATTGTTGAACGATGAAAATGGTCATTAATCTTCACATCCTTCTAACTGTCCATGGCAGAAGTATGAGATGTGATAATTGAAATTGATGACCGGAGGCTTTCTTATTAAACTTGTATAGTGCACCTGTTTTGAACGAGAGCTTATTTATTTTGTTTTAAATTATTCAAAAAAATTTATGTTGGATGTAAAATAATGAAATGACTTGTATAGCAATATAAATCCTGAACAATTACAGCTTTATTTATAATGAATAAATTGTATGATAAAATTATGTATAAAGAGTTGCATGGTTAATTATTATAGTTTGAATAATTAGTATAATTTATTCATATTTTATTAAAATAATTATAATATATTAAATAGTTTCTTCTCTTTTAAATATAATAGTATTATACATGGCATAATTATATACTATTAGTGACTACATTTTAGTTTAATAAATAGTTTATTACCCTAGTAGTAAATAATTTACTAAATCGTATAATTAATAAATTACAATGTAATTTATTAATTTAAAAAATACTATTAATCATTATACTATCAATACTATTACAATTAAAATAAATACAAGTTATTTTTTTCATACTATTATCATATTTTAGAAAGGCTACTAAGATGCAAGGTAACAGGTAGTCCTCCATAAGAGGTGAGACCCAAAGGCGTAAGGCATAAGCGTAATAAATTTTTATTATTTTTAATTTTTCTAGGATTTTAAATATTATATGAATATAAAGTAAGGACAAATTTCAAATTTTCTATTAAATAACATAATTAAATAATAAAATAATAGCGTGACAAAGGGCTTGAAAAAGTAAGGAAATGTAAATTAATAAGAGATTATATATAATTAGAGAATGATTAATTACAATTACAACTAATAAAATACTTGAGAATTATCAAACTTAAAGGGAAAAAAATGGAAATCAAAAGCACAAACATACTTAAAAAAGTTAAAGAAAAATGACCAAAAGCACAAACATACTTAAAAAGTTAAAGAAAATGCAACCTAAAATATAAATTTTAACAAAGTATATAATGTTTGTAGGTGAAAATACTAGATTCTTTAAAGTGACATTCATTTTATAATGAGGCATAAAAACTAATGGCGAAAATCTAAAAAATGACATACTTAACAATAAGACCTATTCCAGTCACTGAAGTTTTGAATTGAGCTGAAAAGTTAAAGATGTTTTCATATATATCCTCAAAGCTACCATATTTACAGATTCACTCTCTAAAATTTAAATATTTGCAAAAAAACTCATCTATCTCTGTGCAAGTTACTGAACCATATGGGCATTTCACAAAGCAAAGGCACCATGTTAAGTACTGAATACATATATACTGAGATTACAGAATATCGCGTTCATGACGTTAATGTGCAAGGCAAACACATAAACATGAATTGAGGGTTCTTTGATATTGATCTCTTAGAATCATTCACATTGTGAAATTAGTTTCTCAAGTCATGGAAATTGTTATTACCTCATATTTGAAGTTATTTTGAAATTAGTCCCTCGCATATAGAATATCGCGTTCATGACGTTAATGTGCAAGACAAGCACATAAACATGATTTGAGAGTTCAATATTGGTCTCTTAAATCGTTCATATTGTGAAATTAGTGCCTCAAATCATGGAAATTGTTTTCTTTTGGTCAATGAACTGAAATTTTATTCATTTTCCAAATAATCATGGAAATTACCTTATGTCTGAATTTTTTTTGAAATCAGTCCCTCAAATCATGGAAATTGCTATCAAAATCCCCAAATTGTTAAGGTAGTTTAAAATTAGTCAATCCAATCAAAAGTAGCAGTAGTAACTAGAGGGAATTCTAAATAATATCAATTGTGGTGGACTATCCTATAATTCTCATAAATTTCTTCAAATTAATTCCTTTCGTTTCTATTTTTATTCTTTATTGGCGGACTAATTTCAAAATAAATCAAAATTGGGGAATCTAATAGCAATCTGTGATTTTAGAGACTAAATTCATAATAACCTTAAATTTGAGGAACCTAATAGTATTTTTTTCATGACTATTCAAAGGAGTAATATCGAGAAAAAACTAAACAATAAAGTCTAAATTGCACTTAAATGCATGTAGTTTCACTACTCTTGCTGACGTGATGAAAAAGTGGGTCGATTTTTGTAAATAAGTTTGAATAGGATCGATTTTTAAGAATAAATTAAGGAATGAGTTTAAATAGAAAATTTCTTCAGAGCGCAATATAGCCAATAATAAATAACCCCAGCCCAAATGTCGACGGATCAAATGGGCTATCGGTTTCTCGGCCCATCTATAAGCTACCCCTATGTTCACTGTTAGGGTTTCTCTTCCGCACCAGAAAGCTCTGCTCGAGATCACTAGAAGCAGGCGGGGATTACGACTACGAGTGCTGCGTTTCTCCTAACCCTAGATAAAGCAGCTAGGGTTCGTCTTTCTTCGTATTTTTTCACAATCACTTCAAGATGAGGCCTATCCTGATGAAAGGCCATGAAAGGCCTCTAACTTTCCTCAAGTACAACAGAGAAGGCGATCTGCTCTTCTCCTGCGCTAAGGATCACAATCCCACTGTTTGGTTCGCTGATAATGGCGAGCGCCTTGGAGTCTACAAGGGCCACAACGGCGCTGTTTGGAGCTGCGACGTTTCTCGTAATACCCTCTCTCTCCCTCTCTCTCTCTCTCTCTCTCTCTCTCTCTTTCTTTTTACGTAAAATTTTCGATTAGGTTGGAGGTATTTGATGGATTTGAGAAGAAAGTAGAGAGCGTTGATACCTTTATGTGGGAAAAAAATGAAGAGGAGTCGTAGTTTTAATTTTGATCTTTATGAATTGAATGGAGAACATTACTATTACAGTAATTTAATAAATTCTGAAATATATCCGGAAGTCATGTTTTCCGTGCAATTCCTTGCTCATTTTATATTAAATGAAGAATTTTAGCATAAAATTTGAATTTTTATTCCAAATCTGTAAGTTTTTTTTAGTTACAGAAGAATTGTGTATTTGATTATGCTAATATCCATCAAAGTCATTTAAGTAGTAGTATTTTTTTTTACTCTTTTTAACTTGTAAAAGCATGTTTACTAAATTGGTTCTACTCTTTGAATATTTGGTGCATTCTCATAAACTGCTGTACATTACGCTGCTTACGATAAGTTTGGTTTCAAAAACTAATGGTACTGGGTTGAATAAGACATAATAAGGCTATGTTTGTTTTAGGGACTTGTTTTATCCCGGGACTAATTTAACTCATTATAATCTTGGGATTTACTAATCCGGGGGACCATAGTGGGTTAATTGTTTTAGTAATTTGTTTGGATCGGTTTGTTATTAACACCTCTAATACATATGTCATGTTTGGGAACTTGTCATTCTAAAGGGGTGATAATGCCCTTCTTCCTACCAATAGTGAATTATTGCTTCTTAATGATGTAACAAGCAAAGCAATCTCAAACTCATGATTTTCCTCCACTTTGAGGACTCTGGATTTTATCAGATGTCAAGTTAAAGGGCAGACAAGTGAATTCCTTTTGAGCTAGAATCATCATTAATGGAGTTTCATGCTGAAATATAATGAGGTAAAATTAAATGTCATGAAAAGAAGCATTAGTATATAAATGGGTACACAGTCACAGCTTTAAAATATGTAGCCTATAAAAGAGAAAATAATTGAAATAGTTAAATATACTTAAAGGCAGCTCCAACAATCGTATAGTTGAGTTTCAATCATCCTAGAATTATCGAGAGATGCTTTAAAGATGAGTTTGGATGACCAAAACCGCACAAAGAAATAAAAAGGGGTGATATTAAGCGGGTGAGAAATGATAAAGAGAGAAAACTCTAGGTGATTTTTAGAGAAGTTAAGCGTAATGTGGTCTTTTTGGGTCTAGTGCCAATTACAAAATAGTACCAAGACTATAATAGCACCCCTCCCTCCTTTGTTAAAATTTTGAAGTTTGAACCAAACACCCCATTATTTCATTATAAGGATAAAGGATTGTTAATTTAAAATGGTACCAATCCAAACATGGCCTAACTGGCTTATGGCCAAAAGACAGTACAATGTATCTACTTGTTTTTCTTTTCCTTTGCATCAACCTGTCTACTGGTGGACTATTTGCTAACCAATGTTTTTAATTTGTTCAGGTGATTCTATGCGCCTGATTACAGGAAGTGCTGATCAGACTGCGAAGCTGTGGAATGTACAAACAGGAGCTCAGCTTTATACTTTCAACTTCGATTCTCCAGCTAGATCGGTGCAATTCTCTGTGGGGGATAAGCTAGCTATTGTAACAACCGATCCCTTTATGGGTCATCCTCCCACTATTCAAGTGAAACAAATTGCCAGAGATCCTAGTGAACGTATGATCTTTTATTTCTCTGTCTCCTTCAAGCCATTGAAATTCTTAAGTTAACATGCCAATGTTCACTTTGATAATTATGTTATTGGAATCATAGACCCATGCTGCTTGTATAGTCTTCTTACAAAAAATTCCCTTTATTTTTGTGCAAATTTCACTGTCCATTCAAACATCCGTGATTATTATTATTATTATCTTTTGCAGAAACTGGGGAATCTGTGCTCACAATCAAGGGTCCAGGGAGAATCACTGGGGCTATTTGGGGACCTTTAAACAAGACTATAATAAGCGGAGGAGAAGATGGAATACTCCGTACGTGGGATACTGAGGTGAGCCTCCCTTTTTGTTTATTTCTTCTAAAGGTTTCTTCTTTGCGCTTTTTTTCTCATGCGTGTTATTTTTAGAAGATTATAATTTATAATCACGTTTACCTCCCTTTCCTTCACTGCTTAAACCAATTTCCTTCATGTACTGTTCAGTTTATCTTTTGCATCATAGATCTGAGTCACATTGCTTTATTGTTCTTACTGCTTACATGCAAGAAAAAAAACCCGTCAAAAGCCTCATTTGAGCCCTGTTTCAGATGAAATAAAACACACAGAAGATATGATGAAAAAATGGAAATAGTTTCTCAGAAACTTGACTGCTCATAGTCAATTTGATTTATTATTTGATGCTAGGGTGTTTTTTGTAGATAATGTGATTATTGACTTTTTTGTATGTAATTTGGCATAATATTCAAGGCGTTCCTTTCCTTTCTAATGGGCAAAATAAGTGTGTATTTGTTGTCATGGAGGTTGTATTCATCTTGTTTACCACACCTGTGTATCATCATCAATATTTGCATCATCATTGATATAGATGCTACAGCTCCCTGTTGTAGTTAAATTCCATACTGTTTCCTACTCTATTGAATTACAATGTTAATTTCATCGGCCTTTTAAACATGTAGACTGGGAGCCTTTTGAAGGAGTCAGATAAGGAAACTGGTCATCAGAAGAGAATCACTTCAATTTCAAAGTCTGCCGATGGGTCTCATTTCCTGACAAGTTCTTTGGATAAATCTGCTAAGGTATGGTGTCAACTATCGTTTCATGCTTTATCTTCATTTTAAGTTGTGGCTAATCTTTTTTTTGTCTTCATTTCATTTTGTTAGCTTTGGGACACCAGAACATTGACTCTGTTGAAGACCTATGTGACAAGTGCTCCAGTGAATGCTTGCGCAATATCTCCGCTTCTCGAATTGACTCTGTTGAAGACCTATGTGACAAGTGCTCCAGTGAATGCTTGCGCAATATCTCCGCTTCTCGACCATGTATGCGTTTAAGTAGTTGAAAGTATTGTTGAATGCGTATGCTTATAGAAAAAGTTGTTTTAGCGTTTATGCTTGTATGAAAATATAATAGAAGCAGAAACAAAAACAAACAAAAATGAAAGGGGTAAAACAAGTGAAAGAATTATTAAAAAGTTTAACACACTCAGGTGTATTAAAAAACTGTAGAATTTTATAATTCTAAAAGTCAAGCTATTTACATATGGGGCACATAATTATCCTTCTTTGATAATGAGAATAGTGCTATCCATTTGGGGATTCAAGTTAAGATAGCTTTTAAGGCAAGTGAATTATATATTGTTGGATGTGAGGGTTTTCATATGGTTCAGAAGGTAACTGTACCAAAATATTTACAATCTTCCTGGAAACTCTTATGAAGCACATACTTTCTAAATTGCTTGTTACTTTTTTCCTTAATGGATGGTACTAGCCCAACCTTAGGGTAAAATTCTTAGGGAGATGATGGGTTTAGATAAGAGACTAATGAACTCTCTCCTAGGCGGTGTATATATTTCCTACTTCTGTTTTGGAATCCCTGCTATTCCGCGCAAAGCTGAAGTATATTCTTCATTAATACTCTGTAGGTTCACGAACAACCAACTACTGAAGCACATGTGGTTGCAACTGAGAAAATTTGTTGATATGGATTGAGCTTTAAACCCTTTATGCGAAGTTCATAAAGGAATATAGTTCAAGTTTCGTTTCCTTTCTAAGTAGTTCATTCATATCTTAAATTGGAATTACCTCCCCTGTACTTCTTATCATGTCAAGTAAGATGCACCATTGAAAATGGTCATTTCCCCCCATTGAAATTGTTTAAAAGATTGTAGCAACTTCACTTATGCATTGTTAGTTAGGTACTGTGCATGTTTTCGATCATCTTGTGCATGTGTGTGTGTGTGTGTCATATGCTGATTTTAAAAGCAATTTCTTTTTTTGTCTTGTTCATGGTAATTGCGTAGGAAAAAGTTTTCAGACTTGATTCTTATGTATACTATTCTGAGAGATAATATCTTTTTATTCTCATGATTGTTGGTGGTTTTTTATCTGGTTTTAGGTGGTGATTGGCGGTGGCCAGGATGCAGTGAATGTTACGATGACTGATCACCGTGCAGGAAAGTTTGTAGGTGGTGATTGGCGGTGGCCAGGATGCAGTGAATGTTACGATGACTGATCACCGTGCAGGAAAGTTTGAAGCAAAATTCTTTCACAAGGTGAATTACAGTGAATGTTACGATGACTGATCACCGTGCAGGAAAGTTTGAAGCAAAATTCTTTCACAAGGTGAATTATATATACCTGCATTATATACAATATTCATTCCACGAGAATTAAATTATATGTATTATTCCATTATATTTGTTATTGAACCTCTTCGTTTAACCATGATAAGCTGATTAACTGGGTTGTAAATTTTCTCATGGTTCCTCTACTTTTCTTTACAGATTCTTCAAGAAGAAATTGGGGGAGTCAAAGGTCACTTTGGACCAATCAATGCTCTGGCTTTTAATCCTGATGGAAGGAGGTGACCTGTCTTATCTCTTTCTTTCTGACTTCATTTGTTTATATTCATGATAGCTTTTGTGTAAAGAGGGGTTAGCTGTGTAACATATATCCAAATTGAATTGGCCCTACAGCAAGTTAGACAAATTTCGCTACTAGTAAGGACAAAAAGGACATTAAGGATATGGCATAAAGGCTGCATTTTGATAGGAGATAGGTTATAGGTTACAATTTCTTAGGGGGAAGTTAGCAAGAGTTAGGGACTTGATGCCAGATTTCGATTCTTAGGAAGAAGTTAACAAGAGTTACAGATTTGGTGCATTTGTATTGTCTGGATAGGAAATAAGAGGTTGGACTTATTGCAGTTGGTTTAGCGGAGGGATGATGACTCTAGGAGAACTTTTTCTTTGTTCAAAGTAGCTTTTAAGCTAACTTTTTGGTATCTACGTGTTTGGTAAATCCCATAAGCTAGCTTTTAACTTCTTTTTAAAAAGCTGGGATTCTCCGACTTTTGTAAAGTTAGCTTATAAGCAGCTCATCCAAATAAGCTAGGTTTGACCAACTAAGTGACTATTCTACGTGATAAATTTTGGTAGCATTTTTGTCATAAATGTCAAAAATAAACCCAAGTGTTGTAAGGAGTTAGAGCTCTCAATATGGGTGGTTTCAGTATAACCCGGAGTGATCATTTGCATGCACTATTTGATGGAGTTAACATCTAACACTTTTTAGGTCTTGCAGCAAAACTAGGCCTTAGTGGCCGTGTCAACTAGTTTATGTTTCTGTTTCTACAGGCTGTTTTGTGTTAACTACCTTCTTTGTGTGAGGTTGGAGAGCTGCTTAATTTATTTAAATTCCTGTGTTTTATAGGGATTCATGCTTCTTTCCTGCTTTCCTTTGAGGTTTGTGTGCTCGATGATTGTAGCCAATGTTATTTGGCAATATACGCTATTCTGAGCACTTTAAGCATAGGTTCTGATGCTAAACAAAAAATATGAGAGCTACCTCTGTGTCTCTTTACTTGTGGTTTTTGATGTTACACTTAAATCCTGCTTATTGTTTTCTCCCTATCTTTAGTTTTCCTATCTTTAGTTTCTCTTCTATAATGTGACTTTATTTCAGTTTTGCGTTTTAATTTTTTTAAGAAGGCAATTATTATGAAAACCTTCCAACTTTGACAACTTATTATGAAAATCTGCTACCAACATTTTTTCTTCTTACATGACCTCTTGCCAATATTTCTGTTAAGTCAGGTTTAAAACAACACATGCTGTGCATGTGAAGCTGACAATGTGTTATGTAATTAGAACTTAAAGGTAGGTGGTTCCCTAATAAGTGGTCAAAGTTGGAGGGGTTTTTGGTAATAATTCCTTTTCTAAAGGAGCGGTGAAGCTGAACTATCTTCCAAATTTCTTTTGCTGTCATGGATATTGTGGCCCAATGATTGCCGCCAGTAGTATCTGGCGATATACGCTATTCTGAGAACTTAAGCTAGCTTAAGTGCTGATGCTAAACAATAAAATATGAGAGCTACTTCTGTTTTTCTGTTGCTTTTGTGTTTTTTGATGTTAACATGGGTATCCTGCCTACTATATTTCTCCCTAGTTTTAATTCTCTTTTCTAATGCGACTTTTTTTTTCTGAGGAAAGTTGACGCTTAATTAATTATCTTTCAGATTTCTTTTACTGCCTTGGGGATTGTATGCCTGAATGTTTTCCGCCTGTAGAGGGTGATATATGCTATCCTGAAAATTTCAGAGCTATTCTTACCTCAGCCTTTGTTTTTTCTTCTAGATGTTTTCCCACAATTTTTTGGTTTTCTCTTGACTGTCTTTCCACGTGTTTTCATCCTTATTTCTTACCTTCTAAGAGGAAGTGAATTTCTATATGCATCCTTGTGTATTATGGCTTCATGATTGCAGTGAATACCATTTGACAATATATGCTATTCTGAGCATGTTCAGTATAAACTTTATGATGAAATAGTATGACAGCTATTACTGCTACTTCAGCCTATTTTGCCGAGGTGAAACTTCTTTTAAATATCTTCCGGATTTCTTTTGCTGCCCTTGGAGATTGTGTGCCTGAATGATTGCCGCCTGGTAGTGATGAACAATGCTATCCTGAAAATTTAGAGCTATTCTTACCTTAGCCTTTTCTTCTAGATGTTTTTCCACTTAATTTTTTGGGTTTCTCTTGGCTGTTTTTCCGCGTGTTTTCATCCTTATTTTAGTTTCTCTCAATTTCTAAGAGGAAGCAAATTTCTACTTGCACCCTTGTGTATTATGGCTCCATGATTGCAGCAAATACCATTTGACAATATACGCTATTCTGAGATTGTTCAGTTTAATGTTGACAATGAAATAGTATGAGAGCCATTACTGCTACTATAGCCTATTTCCTCCCTTGTATATATTTTTTTCCTTTGGCTTTTTTATAGGGTTCCTGTGCATTTTATTTATTCTCTTTTAATCGACTTGTATGTTCTTCTTATTTCCTCCATGTGTGAATGGCAACATGTCTGGTCCCTTTCTTGTTGGAGCATGGCTTGACATCTTATAATTACTGTGTTTTTCCTTATGTTTCCCTTCTGTTTGATTTCATTTACCTGCTGTGGGATAAGTGGAGTGTTTTCCTCTCTTTTTCTATTGTTTTCTTTTCTTTCTTTTGTGTTTTTGCATGCGCTCATACTTGTGCGTGTGGATATTTAGCTCGTCAATACTGGCATTGACAGAATGGGAACATATTGCTTTTCTTTTTCTTTATTTTCTTTTTCCTTCTCAACACAGAAATGCTTCCATATTTTTTTCCAATTTGCTTCTGCATTTTTGTTTTTAGTTTTATTGCCCTTAAAAGGTTATATATATATAGAGTATAATTATCTTTATCTCTTAACTTTGTAGTTCTTTTACGTATTGTGGCTCAATGAATCAGCCGATAATGTTTTTCTATGCTATTTGATAATGTTGAGTTCATAATGTTGTGGGTGGTTGGGTAATAATATGATTGCTATCATTTTTTACTTTCAAAATTTTATGTTCATTTTTGTTTTTTTAATATTTTTCTTTTGTGTTCTGTCATTTTGTCTGCTATTTGGTTGTGTGAACTATTTGTTTCTTTTGTTGTACGCATGTGCATATCACAATTCATATTTGAGTGGCATTTGTATTTGGTGCGGTAATCCTTCTCTCTTCTCTGACTCGACTGAACTTTATTTCTTTCTATGTCAACTATCACGCTTTGTCATGCATGCTGCTCAAAGCTGACTTCTATTTTTCACGTATACACGGGGAAGTAATATGTGTTACATAAATAAGTAATATTCTTTATTATTTCAGGGTTACATGTACTGTCTATGCACGCTAAAAATCTATGAGTATCGAAGTTCCAAGTGATTAAAATTCGAAACATTTTAGACTTACAAACACGACATTTTTCTGAGGCCATCTGCTGCATTCGCACTGATTTGTAGTTACCCCTATGGTGGAATTCTTGAACCACTTTTGTTTTTCGAGACTATGTTTTAGATGGTATTAGTCGAACAATTAGCGGGCTTTTGGTTGCAGTAGCCACTGGATATTGCCATATTGTAAACCCTTATGTAATGATTGGTACTTGATGTCTCTTAATTATATGATTATGTTTTGACTTTTTATATATGGTGGTAATAAATGTAGTTGATTACTTTTCAGTGTGCATGTCATGAATATTTGATGTCAATAGTACCGTGATTATTTCTTCTCATTCTTTTTATGTTCTGGTGACAGTTTTGCAAGCGGTGGGGAAGATGGATATGTCAGGTTGCATCATTTTGACTCAGATTACTTCAATATCAAGATTTGAAGAACATTTTCTCTCTTTTTGGGTAGTTCTTGGGGTTCGTTGACGAGGGGTGTGAAATTACCATGTACACAATTGTTATCCTGATATGAATATTATGTCTCTGTTTTCTTTTGCCGTTTTATTTTTTATGTACGTTTTTCACTTCACAAGCTTGCTCTCGGTAATTTACCAACAGTGGAGGTGGATTTTAATGTTAAATCTTTGCTTTGCTGTGAGCGGTGAAAATTTGCTAGTTAATCTCAAGGAAATCACCAAATGTTTAGCTTAGTAGCACTTTACCCCTCTAAATTCCTTCCCGCTTTGAAAAGAAATGTTGGGAGAGCAAAGGTTGAAGGTTATCGTTGGTGTAAAACTGACTAAATGTTATGAAATGGAACAAGGTAACTTGTTAAAGCGTCAATACAAAAAGCTGAATGTGGTAATTTTTTTATTTAAAATTTAAATTTTCAATCACTTGTTTAAACCGGTCAAAAGGATCCTCCTACTTTGCGTCCTAACAATCATAGATGTTTTAGTTAGCATCAAGTGTATCTTCTTGGGCCTCGACCTCTTCATCAGCCGTCTCAAGCGTCGTCGCGAGTCTCGTTCCGACGTCGCGCCATCGAACTGCCCTTGAGACTTGCTTGAGGCCTCCGACTCGCCACCGCCGCCCATCTAATGTAGCAGCATCCTACTTTTCTTTGCCTGTTTGTTTGCCCCAAAAAAAGGGGAAATCAAAGAAATGGAAAACTAATAAATCAAAGAATTGTTTTGGGAGTGTTTGGTTTGCTAAAAAAAAGAAGAAATCAAAGAAATGGAGATGAGTTGTCACCTTATTATAGGATGATGTGGGTGATTTTTTAAGAAAACTTGTTTTGATGTTGTTTGGTTGGCGAAAAAAATAAGGAAATGAATTATAAGAAACCAATTTCTTAAAAAAAGTTTGTTTGGTTCTTTCTTAACAATAAGAAAATAGATGAGATGAGATGAGCTGTCATTGTATTATTGGGTGATGTGATCCAAGATTAAGAAAAGCGTTTTCACAACTTTTTGGGATAAAAACAAAGAAATGAAATGTTAATGAGATGAGATGAGTTGTCACAATCTTATTGGATGATGTGGGTGATTTTTAAATATGAGATGAGATGAGTTGAGTGATGTTGTTGATAAAAATAATATTTTATTAGATGTGGTGGATGTGATGGATGAGTTGTTGGATGAAAATAATATTTTATTAGATGTGGTGGATGAGTTGTTGGATAAAAATAATATTTTATTAGATGTTGTGGGTGAGTTTTAGTGATGGAAATGTGTGAAATTGTACTTTTTGAGATTTCTTGCTTTTCATTTCCATTTTTCGGTTTTTTGGGAAATAACCAAACAGGCCAGCTGTGAAATCTACGTTGCGTTAAGTTTTTAGCTATAACATAACGTGTGGATAGTAGGTGCGTACGGTCAAAAGGGATTATTACAATTAATTAGTGGGTGCCACCAAGTTATGGTGGTTTGAACGGGTGTGTATTTTTAGGGGGTGTTTGTTTCATTTTTTTTTGGGATATAGGGTGGATTTCAAGTTTTGGGATGTAAAAAGTGTTTTTTTTGAGTTTTGGGATTCAATAAACTTTGTTTGTTTCAAAATTAATTTTGGTATATTGAATCCCCAAATTATAAAAAAACTATTATATTTTAGAATTTGTGAAATCCTATTTTTGAGCGAGGATTTGGGTTGGTTATTGCACCTATATATTATTAAAAAACTATTATATTATATTATATTAGCATGTTGTACTATACAATAATTAAAATAATATAAAATTAATATATTATATATAATATTATAATAATATGATATTTAATATAATACATCTATTCCTCATAGGAGGACCCAAGAATCACCGCATCAGGCACTAATTTTTTTTTAACGTCTAATTAGATCGGGTAATTATTCAAATTAAGAATAGAAGCTCGTTGCTTTTTTTTATTTTTTACTAGAATTGGAGCCGTAAGGCTCTATCCATTTATTCACTAGACCCAAATGTAAATTTCTTTTGGAGTAAGACAAAAGAAAAAACAATTTTTGAATGATCCGGTAAGGATCAACTCAAAATTCGACAAAAAAAAAAAAAAAATAAGAATATTAAAGAATATAATAAGAAATTCCATTTTCTTCTTATTATTACGACATGCTGTTTTTTCCATCCATTACCTTTCAGGATCAGTCGCGGTTTTATAGACTCTACCAATAGTCTGGACGAATTCGTTGCTTCATCCAAATGTGTAAAAGATCATAGTCGCACTTAAAAGCCGAGTACTCTACCGTTGAGTTAGCAACCCAGATAAATATGATATGTAGATACGATCGAAATAAAAAAAAAAAATGGAATTGCACTGTACAACTACGTCAAAACATTGAACTAACAAGAAATAGAAAGATTTTATGATCAATTATAAACAGCAAAATAGAAAAACGAGTGGATCGGATTAAAAAACAAAAGATTCCCAATAGAAATATCAAAATTTAGAGACCACACGTTTTCTCAAAATTTTTGATTTTCGTTAAGAAAATACATCTTGTATAACAGTAAATCCGGCAAACCCATCATTTGACTGAAGTAAAGGAAAAACCAATAGAAGTCGGAATAAACAGATCCATTTATCTACGCTCGAATTATATTTGAGCGATACAACATTGTCAATATGAAAACAAATTAAATTAATTAATTAAGTAAATCAAATAACGATTTGTGTTGGATTGGCACAACATAAATAAGAAATTTAGATGAAAAAAATAAAATAAAGAAAAGATAGAGAAAAAATGTCGGGTTTATTCAATCAATAAAGATACAATAAGCAAGGTTTTTAAAACCACCCTCTTTTTAAAATTATTAGGCAAAATCGACCACATGAAAAAATAATAGGCAAAACCGACCCTTTTCTTCTGAAAAGGGTCGGTTTTGCAAAAAAAGAGATTTTACGAAGTGCACGGGACTAGTAGTCCCGTGCACTTCATTTTCGTGCTGTCGAGTGTGCATTTGGGCTACCGGCTTCAGCTTCACGTGTCGGTCGAGTGCGCTGAATTTTCGTGCACTCTAGAACTCGGGATTAATTATAAAAAAACAAGAAAAGAAAAAGGATTAATCGGGTGTCAAGCCGCCCAGACCTGAAGGAAACGAGAGACCAAATGAGACCAAGGAGGCTGGAGTAAGTGTTGGGATTCCGAATGAGCTTCCTCCACACCATGATCAGTATGAGCCTGGTCATCACGCTGGCGTGCGGCATCATCGATATTGGGGGTGGATCCATCATCATCGACTCTTTGGGGTGGAGCTCCGCCGTGGAATTCGACCCGGCCCGATGCACTGCGCCGGGG